AAGAACACTCCTAATCTAGCAAAGAGAGCAGATTTGGTGATACGTGTGTAAAAGAGTGATGAGGGCATTAATCCTCTGAGCATTTCAGCTCACTGATATTTTGCTTTTGTCTTTTTAGGGAAACATGACATTTCTGCCCAGTTGACATTGGACAGTAAGTAGACGGCTTAGTTTTCGCAAGATCTGGATGCAGTTTTGAATCCTTGCCCATATTTATTCTGATCGCGATTTGAAGGCAAATCGCGGATGGTTCACATTTCCCGTATGAAGGATTTCCTCGTTGGTCTTCTGCCAGACCATGCAGTGAATTCTCCCATGTAAAGCTGGCAGTAATAAAGTCCTAAGATGCTACAGTGGAAGGTACTTGCTGCAGATAGACCATGGAAGGCATCACATTTTTACACTTGATCTTAGCCAAAAGGCCGAGAAGCGATGGAAGGCATCACATTTTTAATGCTCTCCTTTACAAAATCAAAATGTCCCTGCAAGTAAAACGCCAGCACAACAGGGACAAGGCTGAGCTAGAGTTAGCCTCCCTGATATACCAGTTTTCCTCTGAAAGGGAAGGATTTGTTAATCTCTACAGTGAACCCTCCACATTCGCTTGGATTAGGGGTGCAGGACCCCTGTGAAAGTGGAAAAACTGCAAATAAAAAACCCTATTATCTATCTATCTATCTATCATCAATCTAACTATCTTTTACTTGAGAGAATACCTCTCTAGTAAAAACTAGGTCCTCCAGCACAACTCTGTGGTCAACATCTGCTGGAAATTGACCATAGATTTACACTGGGGGAACCTACAAATACCTAGAGAAAAGTCTTCTTTAGTAATGAAAAGCTAGGTTCTCCTTTGCAACTCAGTAGTCAACTTCAGGCAGAGTTGCGCTGGAGGACCTAGATATTACTAGAGAGAACATAGTCATCAAATCCGCAAATAAGCAAAGCTGCAGAAGTCAAAGTCACAAATACAGAGAGCCAACGGCATTTACCTATAGAGATTTACATATAGATGCAGCCTGATTTTTGCAGAGATGTGCTTCCACCGTTTTCTCTCCATCCCAGCAGATATATCAACTACTCTAAATCTGATACCTACACATCAATCAGTGACTATAATCTCTATTTTAGGACTGAATTTAACTGCATGGCTACAGTATTTACATCCAAAGTTTTGGCCTTTGATACCACATTATCTGATGATACATTATCATCATGCCACATTATCTGGTGGTACCTCACTGATGGACCAAAGCTCCAGTCAGTAACATCTGGTAGAATGTGTAACCAAAGTAATAATAATGCTTACTATTATTAATCTTATTGTTCTTATAATTTATAATTATTATTACTCTCTTGCCCGAACACACCAGCCTGCATTCCTCTGCTTCTTAGTCCTCTTCAGCATTCAATTCTCTTTATGGGCTTTTTTTTTTTTTTTTTGCCATTGTTGTTAAAAACTTTCATTTTATCTTAGCATAATTTACCAGTATTTTTCCCTTTTGTTGTCTGAATTAGAAAAAAAAGAAGAGAGAATCCAGGGAGCAACTGAAGCTGAGAAAAGTGATATGAAAGAGCAGTACCTTAAGAAGGTGAGACTGTTTCCTCTGCTTGTTGAAATCAAGGCTGACTCAAGCCGTTTTGCTGCCTGAGGCAGAACAGAGTACTGTAGGCAAGTCAATTATACTAGCAGCTGAGACAGAAAATCTCCCCAAGTGATCATTTGTCTTCATAATGATAAAATACAACCAAAATATATTAAATAATTCAGAATCCAAAAACTGCTTCATTCTGCCTAATGGTAGGATTGGTCTTGTTCAGAATTAAGTATTTTGTTGCAGTTGAGATTATTTTGTTTGCTTCTTTATAAATAAGGGGGAAAGGATCAGAATTTGAATCTATCATTATGTGCATATAGCTATTTATATATTGTAAAGAAGGGTTTGCAAGAATCTTGAAATGTCGCCTTTAGTCCTGCATTGGCGAACCTATGGCACGTGTGCCAGAGATGGCACATGAAACCATTTTCCTTGGCACGCGAAGCAGAGAAGAAGAGGAAAAGGCACCTGCATGTTCCTCCTCCTCCCAGCTGTCCCAGGCCTACAGCTGTCTCCAGAGAGGCAGCTGAAGGCCCAGGAAGGTTGGGGGGGGGAGAAATCCCGTCCCAGAAGTACTGCACCCATAGGGCAGAAGTCCCACCCCGGAGGTCCCATTTACCCTGGAAGTCCTGCCTCTGGCACGCAGTAACACCAATGCCAGAAGGCCATTTGGCTTGGGCACTTGGTGCCTAAAAAGTTCGCCATCACTGCTTTAGTCTCTCAAAGGCTTTCTGTCTCTTTCAGAAAAGGAATTGAGATAATTAAAATGTAAATCT